TATATATATATATACTTTTTGATCGCCTGCAGCAAATTCTAAGATCACAATAGCTGTTTTGTCGCACGCAGACAGAAGCTTTATGTCTTCTTCAATTTAACAAAAAGCATGAAGACTAGCTGCCCAAACTCCCATACCCCCTCAAGGACCCTAGCTGTTTTTCTGGTGACCAGACTCTCTTTTACAGCATCTACACCTTACCAGACAGGCTGAGAAGTTTGATTACCCAGTAATTAGCTCATCTTTCCTTCATGAAAGGTGTGCTTGTATGATTGAGAAGATGCTTAAAGTGTTCTTTCCACAGCCCAGTGACATCTCTGTTTGGGGTCAACAGCATCCCACCTCCACTACACAGTGTTTGTAAACTGCTGCTTCAGATGCTTTACGGTTTGCCAGAATCTTCTTGAAGTTGATCAAGAGTCTTTTTCCAAGACCTCACTGAACTATGTCCACATCTATGCTTTTGACTCAGCATCAGTCAAGGCTGTAGTCTGCTTGGCCCACCAAAACTCCTCAGCTGCCTCTGGAGTCCTACCAGCTAACAAGGCCTGATAGAATTCAGCTTGATGAACCTCTATTCCCAGGATGTCCACCACCAGGTTTGAGAAAGGCTGTCATGAGAGGTTGGGCTGGGCTATAAATGGATTTTATCAATTAATTGGAATTTGCAGTTTATGAAGATTTAATTTTTTGGAAAATCTGGATTTTGTTTTTTTCCTCCAGTGCACTCTTTGAGGTTTCCATAGTTCGGAGTTCAAACCACCCCTCTCTCAAACGCATACATGTCAACATGGCAGCTAACAGGCACAGTTTGGTTAGGAACTGGAATCTGGATCTGGAACTGGTTCGATTTCAGACTTGGAGCAACAAACCGCCAGCTGCAAAATCTGTTTGAAGGCTGTTGCAATCAAAAGCAGGAGTACTTCAAATTTGTTTCAACAAAGGCACTCATTTCAGAGGGAGAAATGCTGCTCTACGACAAGCTCAAGCTAGCAGCAGCCTACAAAGCACCACCAAAAGACAAGCCACCTTTGGGGAGTCGTTTTCAAACTAAAAAGCTGTTTATATCTCCATGGTCGCGGGTCGCCACACAGGCAGCCGCCATCTTGCACCGGCATCTTGTCTACGAAGGCTCATGAAGGACAAACTGCGGTGGCAGCGTCAAAAACTGTTAGTTGTAATACTATAAATGTAATATTTGTTGTCTGTCATTGTAGCTGGGATAATTTTACTTATTAAAGCTCATAATCTTACCACTTGAAACATC